TTTCGTATGGGAGGTGTCGTCTGAAGATCGAGATCGAGAATCAGAAGCTCAAAAGATTTGGGGTGGTAGTCGAACTTTAAGCTCGAAAGCTATGGTAGACGATCGTGTTGAAGGAGAAGTAGACCCCTCATACCTCCATTGGTTCTTTGATCAAGCCCCCCTCAAATTAATGCCCGAAGGATCAGCGCGAGAACTCAGAGATCGAGAAGAGGAAATTGAAGTCAGAATCAAGCAAGCTCGGCTCGAGGTGGAAAGAAATTACAAGTCTACTCTGGATATCCTAAGTAATGATCTAAAGAATGCTAGAGAAGAGTTGGCTCAACGTGATGCAATATTCAAAGAAAGAGTTAGGTTGATTCAGAAAAGGGTTGAAAAAGAACATCAATCCACCATTCGAACCTTACATGAGGATTTGGGCATTGTCACAGGCACTATGGAGCAACAAGAGGAGGAGTATAAAAAAGAAAAGACCCTCTTAATGCACACACAGGCTAGACTACAAAATCAGTTAAAAGCTTCGATGGGACGAGAAACAGACATAGCAAAGCGTTTCACATCGTATCAAACAGAAGTCGCAATCGAGAGAAACCAATGGATGGGGGAGCGTGAAGAACTTCATAATCAAATCGAAGAGCTTCAGGCACATGAAGAGGATTTGACCCACAGGGTTGATACTACTCAAGAATGGTTGCAGAATTGTCACGAGAATATGGAGGAGGCCAAAGGACAAGTGCTTCAGCTGACAGAGAGCTTGATTGATGTTTATGGTGGTTATCTACATCGGGGTGATGAGAGCCTGGGTCGACATGCGCGTGCACTGGCCCCACATCTACCAAAAGCTTTGTTCAAGGTTTACTCTAGCCTAGGGGGCAACTGATGATAGAGAAATATTGGAGAAGGATTTTTTTTAATTATTATTATTATTTCTTTTATTTTCATTTTTTGTCGAAGTTTGTTTCAATCTTTAAGTACTTTGATGTTTTGGTTATTTATTTTAAGAACATTTTGATTTGAATGATATCTTCATATAAATAAATGTCGTGTTTTCTTTTTTTAATAATTCTTCTTCACGAACTACGTAATGATCTGATTCATGTTCAACATGATACGTAGGCAACCTTCAACAGGTTCGATCAAAATGCGTTCAAAATATTCAGATGAGTAAAGTTGGGACTAAAAGCATAACAAGTCGTCCAAAGCCGGGATGAAACATAAAAGTCTTCCAAAACTCATTGTAGAAATAGGAATAATTTAGGTGCATAACATACAACGTGTTATTAATATTGCAAAGTGTTGAATCCTAACACATTTGTTTTTTATATATAAGAGAGAAAGAGTTTAAAGGTGGTTGGTTTGTGAAGAAAGCTGGCATCTCATCAATATAACACAAGATAAAAGGGAAAGCAAAAATGACACCAAAGACGGAACGAGTCGGGAAATGACGAAGTCCAAAATCAAATGGTTGCACAAGAGTCAGTATCTGTAGAAGAGGTCAAGATGTTGAGACAACAGATGGCCGAAATGTATGAAGCTTGGATGAATGGGCAGGCTCCCCCATCTTCAATTCGGGAATACCTGAATGTAAATATGCCATTCCCCATTCAAGTCTCAACAAGTGACCCTATTTATCCACCTGGATTTGGACCCTACGTTAACACATCTAATACTGCTGGAACTTCCTCGGTACACCCTTTGAATCCACCCATGATGAATAATCCACTCTTCATGCCAACTGTGCAAACTAATGCAAATCCCAACCAACACTAGTACAAAAATCCAATGATGATCCTATACCCAAAGATCAATATGGCCAAGGTCAGGCCCCTAAATTGACTTTCAAAATTCCTGATTCTTACCACCACACTCATCAATACAGTACCCCCGTTGAGGTTGAAAAAACTATTAAGGACGAGGAACATGAAGAAATTGCAAGAAAAATGAGGAGTTTGGAGCAAAACATAAGGAATATGCAAGGGCTGGGAGGACACAAAAGTGTCTCGTTCAAGGACTTATGCATGTTTCCAGATGTTCACTTGCCTATAGGGTTCAAAACTCCAAAGTTTGATAAGTATAACGGTCATGGCGACCCAGTGGCTCATTTGAAAAGATTTTGTAATCACTAAGGGGAGCCGAAGGAAAAGAAGAACTTCTTATGGCTTACTTTGGAGAAAGTCTAACGGGTGTAGCCTCAGAATGGTTTATCGATCAAGATATTTCTCGATGGCATGTCTGGGATGACATGGCGCAAGATTTTGTCCAACATTCCAATACAATATTGATATCGTTCCGGATCGCAATTCCCTACTAATATGAAGAAGAAATCGTTTGAAAGCTTTAGGGAATATGCATAAGATGGATGGAGCAGGCGGCTAGAGTCAAACCGCCGATGAAAGACTATGAATTGATTGATGTTTTTCTCCAGGCACAAGAACCTGACTACTTTCATTACCTTCTTGCTGCAATAGGGAAGCCTATACCACACCTCATCTATCATCTGCTTCAGTCATGGTGGTGTCCCAGATGGTACAAAACGGATATGAACCTGGAAAGGGACTAGGGTTGTCTTTGCAAGGAATTGTAGATCCCATCAATCCGATGGGTAATCAAGAGACATTCGGTTTGGGTTTCAATCCAACTAGATTTGATAGAAAATGGGCAAAAGATCGTAAAAGAAATGTTTGGAATTTGTTGAAGCCAATCTCATATTGCTCAATCTTTCGTTAAATCTCGAGGTGAACCGAGTCCAGACTTCTCTGTCCAGAATGATGTTGATGAAATATGTCAAGGTATCAAGGAAATGTTTTATGACGTAAACATGACTCAGATGGGTGAAGGCACTAGTCACATGGATGTGCAATTCATCGGCCCGAATGTCCAGCTCAACAACTGGGAAGCCACTCCTCTCCTACAAGGAGGGAGTCTTGGTAGTTTATTTTGCTGCTTTTAATTTATTTATTTGGATTATTCTCAGGGTTGTAATTCAAACCTTCTAGCTATCTCACTTTGGTGTTAACCCTTCTATCATTTCTCATTTAATGCAATGAAGTTCTAGTTCCCAATCATATTCAATCATCTTCTCTGTTCTTACTCTTTCTAATATATGTCCTCTTATTTTTCATTTCAGTTACGTTAATGTCGACTTTAATAATATGACATGCATGCGGAGTTTACAGTTAGATCCTAAAAAGTTGTCTGATCTCGAAACAATGAATCCAAAGTTTGACGAATATGATGAAGATGAAGCTTACGAAGAAATAAAAAAGGGATTGGATCAATTTGAAAATAAGCCTAAACCTAATTTAAGTGAAACTGAGGCGGTTAATTTAGGAACTCCTGAAGAAGTGAGAGAAATAAAGATAAGTATTCATATTGATCAGAACATTCGAGACGACATAATTCAAGTTTTATTTGAATACAAAGACGTCTTCGCGTGGTCCTACGATGACATGCCGGGTTTAAGTGCTGATTTAGTAGTTCACAAAACTTCCAATACATCTTGATTTTCCACCTGTCCAGCAAAAGCAGAGAAGTTTAAGACAGACATGAGCGATAAAATTAAGAGGAAATCATGAAGCAACTGACTGCAAATGTGATCAGAGTTGTCCAATACACTACCTGGTTGGCTAATGTTGTGCCAGTACCAAAGAAAGATGGAAAGATCAGAGTTGTGTTGATTACAGAGATTTAAACAAAGCAAGTCCGAAGGACAATTTTCCATTACCCAACATTCACATCCTGGTTGTTAATTGTGCCAAACATGAGATTCAATCTTTTGTGGACTGTTACGCCGGATATCACCAATTCTCATGGATGAAGAAGATGCAGAAAAACTGCTTTCACCACCCCATGGGGTACATATTGTTATAGAGTCATGCCATTCGGTCTGAAGAATGCGGGAGCAACCTACATGAGAGCTATGACTACCATATTCCATGACATGATGCATAAGAAGTTGAGGTATATGTCGATGATGTCATCATTAAATCTAGAACGCAAGTCGACCATGTACGTGATCTAAGAAAATTCTTCGAAAGATTAAGAAAGTACAACCTCAAGCTTAATCCAGCTAAATGTGCATTTGGAGTGCCATCTGGCAAAACTTTTGGGTTTTTATAGTTAGTCGAAGAGGTATTGAGTTGGAACCCCTCTAAGATAAAGTCCATTCGAGATTGCCACCTCCAAAACCAAAACTGAAGTTATGAGTTTCCTGGGAAGGTTAAACTATATCAGCAGGTTCATTGCTCAACTCACCGCCACATGTGAGCCGATATTCAAGTTGTTGAAAAAGGACGCAGCTATCAAATGGGACAAGTGAGTGTCAGGAGGCTTTTGACAAAATTAAGGAATATTTAGCAAACCTCCGGTATTGGTCCCACCAGAACCTGATAGGCCGTTATTCTTATATCTTTCAGTGATGGATAATTCATTTGGTTGCGTTTTAGGACAACATGACATTACGGAAAAAAGGAACAAGCCATTTATTATTTGAGCAAAAAGTTCACAAGCTATGAGGCAAAGTACACTCTGTTAGAAAAGACTTGTTGCGCTTTGACTTGGGTTGCCCAAAAATTGAAACACTATCTTTTGTCCTACACGACCTATCTTATATCTCGAATGGATCCTTTGAAATATATTTTTCAAAAATCCATGCCAACAGGTAGGTTGGCAAAATGGCAGATTTTGCTTACGGAATTTGATATTATTTATGTCACTCGCACCGCCATGAAAGCACAAGCGTTGGCCGATCATTTAGCAGAGAATCCGGTCGATGACGAATACGAGCCCCTAAGGACATACTTCCCTGATGAAGAAATCAACTCTATTGAGGAAGAAATTCCTAATGATGGTCACGTGTGGAAATTATATTTTGATGGGGCTGTCAACAAAAATGGAGTAGGAATTGGGGCAGTTCTTATCTCACCAAACGAATGTCATTATCCTGCCACAGCACGACTTCGATTCTTTTCTACCAACAAACAACAGAATACGAAGCTTGCATCATGGGTTTGAATATGGCAATAAATCTGGATGTGCAGGAGTTGGTGGTTTTAGGGGATTCCGATTTGCTCATTCGACAAGCTCGAGGCGAATGGGAGACTCGAGACATTAAACTCATGCCGTACAAACAATGTTTAGAAAACCTCATCAAAAGATTCAAGTCCATTGAATTCAGGTACATTCCCAGGTTTCACAATGAGTTAGCTGATGCTTTGGCCACCCTAGCCTCGATGCTTCCATACCCGGGTAATACCTATATTGACCCGTTGGAAATCCAAGTTAGGGATCAACATGGTTATTGCAATATAATTGAAGTAGAGCCAGACGGTGAGCCCTGGTATCACGACATTAAACGGTTTTTAAAAGCTAAAGAATATCCAATACATGCTGATAGAGATAAAAAAAGAACTATTAGGCGACTCGCCAATGGGTTCTTCTTGAGTGGCGATATCTTATATAAAAGGACTCCAGATTTGAATCTATTGCGATGTGTGAATATTCAAGAAGCAGAAACAATTATGAATGAGGTGCATTCAGGGGTTTGTGGCCCTCACATGAACGGTTATGTTCTAGCAAAAAAGATTATCCGGGCAGGGTACTATTGGTTGACCATGGAGCGAGATTGCTTTCGATTTGTACGCAGGTGCCATCAGTGCCAAATTCATAGCGACTTGATTCACTCACCCCTTTAGAGTTGCACCCTATGTCTGCTCCGTGGCCTTTTGTGGCTTGGGGAATGGACGTTATTGGGCCGATTGAGCCGAAAGCATCTAATGGGCATCGGTTTATTTTAGTTGCTATCGACTACTTTACCAAATGGGTGGAAGCTGTCACATTCAAATCAGTCACCAAGAAAGCAGTGGTGGACTTTGTTCATTCAAACATCATATGTCGTTTCGGCATACCAAAAATCATTATTACAGACAATGCAGCGAATCTCAACAGCCACCTGATGAAGGAAGTTTGCGAGCAATTTAAAATTGTTCATCGTCATTCAACCCCTTATCGACCCAAAGCAAATGGGGCTGTTGAAGCGGCAAATAAAAACATCAAGAAGATTCTTAGGAGAATGGTGCAAGGATCTAGGCAGTGGCATGAAAAACTACCATTTGCTCTCTTGGGATACCGCACACTATTCGTACGTCAGTCGGTGCAACTCCTTACTTATTGGTTTACGGAACTGAGGCTGTCATACCCGCAGAAGTTGAAATCCCTTCTCTTCGAATCATTGTCGAAGCAGAAATTGAGGACACGGAATGGGTTAAATCAAGGTTAGAACAATTAGCACTGATAGACGAAAAACGGTTGACATCAATTTGCTTTGGTCAATTATATCAGCAGAGGATGGCTCGAGCTTATAACAAGAAGGTACGCCCAAGAAATTTTGAAGTCGGTCAACTTGTTGTGAAACGCATCCTTCCCCATCAAGACGAGGCCAAAGGAAGTTTGCCCCAAATTGGCAAGGCCCTTATGTTATTAAACAAGTGCTATCAAAAGGAGCTTTGCAACTGGCAAATATGGAGGAAAGGCGATCGACACAATTGTTAACGCAGATTCGATCAAAAGATACTACGTTTAACACTCTTTGTTATGACACTCTCATGATTAACATTCTCAAGATGAGAGGATAAAAATGTATCCTCCTTTATTTCAAACACCACTTGTCTGGTGCAAAAAAAAAAAAAAAAAAAAAGAAAAAAAAGAAAAAAAAAGTTTTATTGAACTACGTTCGACCTGATTCCTAAGAGGATACGTAGGCAGCCCTTCATTGGGGTTCGGTCTAATCACTGAATAAAACAATAATCATGTTCTTCAATTCTCCAAGGGCTGAGACATGACATTGTGACCTACGGTGTGTTACAAATAAAAAATAAAAAATAAAAAAATGAGAGAGTCTTATGAGTGAAAACCCTCACGGGCACCATAAGACGATAGTAAGTTGAGAGAAAGAGATAAGAATGTCTTATTGGTGGAAAACCATGAAGGGCACCATTGATCAAATGATGACATTCCGTCTTGGCATGAGCACACAATCAAGATAGAAGTCAGGCTATAGACTTAAAGGTACAACATTGTTTCATGAGATTCAGACAACTTAGAAGGATCAAACGTTCAGTCCAAATGCATGTCATGATTCATTAAGGTGGTCACGTACTTTCAGATAAGATTCTTTTCATTCCTTTTAAACATTTACTTATTTCCTTCTTCTAAAGACATAACTTTTCTTTCATAACCCTTTCATTTGTGTCATTTGTACTTGTGTTCGGTATTCTTTGAGTCTCATTCAGCATAAACTCGCGTCAAGTGAGAAAATCAAATTAAAGTAGCGAAATTGACTACGGTATTTCCAGTTGAATGTTGGGGGCATGCACAACATTGACTAGGGCTGTGAACCAATCGAAAAAAAAATCAAAAAAACGATACCGTGTGAAAATCGGTAAAGCAAGAAAGTTGCTTTGGAAAGGATGAACCCCACAACGTGCACAAATGAAATGGGTCAAAATGTTCATAAGAAGTGTTTCAAGGAAGATAAGGACCGTCTATAAAGCATCTTCAAGCTATTCGCGCGATCGTCAATATGATGATTCTTTCAACCAACACAGATTCAAAGTCAAACTCCACAAGATATTCGAAGTCACAAACCAACCACCGTTTAAAAAAACTAACAAAATATTCTTTGTTTTAAAATAGGTACAAAGAAAAATCGTGCAAGTATTCGCGAGAGTCAAACGCCACCAGGTAAGTTCTTGAATCCCTGTCTCTCCTATAATATGCACCACAATAATAATGATAACAATAAAAAAAAAGATTATTTTTCTTAATAAAATCTGGGGCATTTTATTTTATTTTTATTTTTGTTTGTTTCTTTTATGTTTGGAAAATGTACAAAAATAAAAATAAAATAAAATAAATGATCTAAGTAAAAAAAAAAAAAAAAAAAAAAAAAAAAACATATATATATAACCCCTATTTTTATTTTTCATGTCTTCACAGGGCACAATAACCCTGGTTGCATATAGGGCACAATAACCCTATTTTATTTTTTTTATGTCTTCACAGGGCACAATAATCCCTGGTTGCATATAGGGCACAATAACCCTATTTTATTTTTCATGTCTTCACAGGGCACAATAACCCCTGGTTGCATATAGGGCACAATAACCCCTATTTTATTTTTCATGTCTTCACAGGGCACAATAACCCTGGTTGCATATAGGGCACAATAACCCTATTTTATTTTTCATGTCTTCACAGGGCACAATAACCCTGGTTGCATATAGGGCACAATAACCCCTATTTTATTTTTCATGTCTTCACAGGGCACAATAACCCCTGGTTGCATATAGGGCACAATAACCCCTATTTTATTTTTTCATGTCTTCACAGGGCACAATAACCCCTGGTTGCATATAGGCACAATAACCCTATTTTATTTTTCATGTCTTCACAGGGCACAATAACCCCTGGTTGCATATAGGGCACAATAACCCCTATTTTATTTTTTCATGTCTTCACAGGGCACAATAACCCCTGGTTGCATATAGGGCACAATAACCCTTTTTATTTTTCATGTCTTCACAGGGTACAATAACCCTGGTTGCATATAGGGCACAATAACCCCTATTTTATTTATTTATTTTGTTTTTCATGTCTTCACAGGGCTCAATAATCCCTGGTTGCGTGTATGGCACAATAATCCCTATCTTATTTTTATGACTTCACAGGGCGTAATAACCTCTGGTTATATTGGGCACAAATCTCCCTTTATTTTATTTTATAAAAGTATATTATTATTATGCCTAGTATAAACTTTTATAGCTTTCATCAATAACTCACAAAATTTCCTAGTGCATACTGGGGCAAAATTTTGTTTCGTTTGTTTGTTTTGTTTTATGGCGTGCAGGTTTCTACCTAGTATACCAATTTGAAGTTCAAGAATAAAATCCTCGTTCTGATTAGAGAAACGAAGAATGTCAGATGTCAACGACATTTAGAGTCGCTTTCAACCGATGTAACGGCTCAACATATCATGAATCATCTTCTTGAGAAAACAAGCATTCAAGAATATCATGCGGAAGAGCGTCAACGACTTAAGTCAAATCATAAGTTTCAGATCATAAATTCAAATATCAAGATGAAAGTTCGGAATCGATGTACCTACCCAAAGAGGGTGAAGCGATAACCGAAGATTCAAAATGAAGACTCAGTACTAGTGGAGTAGATATGATCTTGTATCTTTCCCTTCTCTCCTATTGTATTTTTCCTTTTAATGTAACAGCTGGAGCTACGAACCGGAACCTCGACAAAACCTCACTCGACTACCTAAAATTATTCTCCCATCCCTTCCTATATATGAACTACACCTGATTATTAACTCAGGATAGATAGTTTGTCCAAAGTTAGGGCGCAGTCAAACCTCTCCTCTTTTACTTATTTTCACATTTTGGATAAATGTCTCGGTCAAAAATTAGTCACAGTGTTCACGTCTTTGCATGAAAACTCTTCATGTTTCCAAGCAAAGAGGGGCATACTGTGAACACCTAATTTTTGACCAAAACATAAAATTTACGCCCAATTTAATACTTAAATATTATTATTTCAGTAGGGTTATATTTAAAATAAATGAAAATTACAACAAATTATAAGCTCACTTTATGTTTAAAGTTTAATAAAGAAAGCTTTTGAATTTAACGTATTTTGTTTTAATCTTTCAAATTTTTCTAGTCTAAAAAATAATAATAGTCGTATATATCATGGAAAAGTAGAAGAAAAAATAATAATAATAATAAAGAATAAAAAGAAGAGTCCTAAAAATTTCAAATTACCTTACCTTTATCCTAATTACCCCCAACTTCCTTAACTTATTTACTAAAAATCCTCTCCCATTTAGTTTTTTTATTTTATTTTTTTTTCTTTCTTTTCTTCCCCTCTTGCACGATCTTTTCTCTTTTTCTCTTTTTATTTTTTTATTTTTACACGTTTTTTTTTCTTTTTTTTTTTTCTGTTCATTCTTATTTTTATTTTACTCTTTTTTCTTCCTTTATCTCAATCCTAAAAATTCTCAACTAAATTTTAAATTAAATCCTAATCCCACTCCATCACGTTCCTTTTAATTAGCACCAGACTCACACCCCAAACTATTATAAAAACATACGCTCAGTAAAGAAAAAAAGGGATACACATAGACATACACAGACACACAGAAAAAAAAATCACAGAGAGAAAAAGATAACAAAAAGTGAGTTTTATTTTGAAAATTAAGTCAGCGTTCAAGGTTTCACTCAAGGTTTCGGATTCGTGGCTCTTTAAAGTTAATATTAGCTATTAACTTTGGAAATCAGTAGATAGTAGCAGTTGTTTTTGTGGTATCGATTTTCGCAGCGAGGTAACTCTAAATTCTCGCATAATGTAGTTGGAATGCTCGTACGAAATTTGATTCCAATAATATGAAGTTTTCTGAGTCGCATGTTATTATTATCTACCATTGTTTGTGATGAATTTATGAATGCTTAGAAAAACGTAACCGTTTAAGTTTCTTGCTTTAGAATAATATAAAAATAAAAATAAAAGATGTATCATACATTTTTTTAATTATTGTTTTATGCTCTTTAGATGTAATTAATATTGAAATTGGTTTCGTGATATTTAATTTTGAATAGCTAATGTTTCTTGGACCTTAGTTTTCACTTAA